TTTACCACATGAGATTGTTCGACCCTAACTGTACTGTACTTAAAATTCCAAGTAGTTTGGCAGTCTTTCAGCAAATGTAACCATCAGAGACTCTGCTAGTGCTGTGTAGGTTTATTGTTTCCTGTGTACTCTAAGGCAATCAAACAATTCTGCAAATGTTCTTGAAAGGATACAGCTCAAATGTTACTTCATTAAACATCTTCTTGGCATTCATTCCATTTCCCACTTTGAATTGCTGCATTTAGTTTGGAAATGACCTTTTAGAGCAAGGCGTTTATATTAACTCTTCGATTGACTTACAGCGCAATCCCTCCAAAACAAAACAAAACTAACATAAAGCATCCACAGCAAATGCTTTGTAAATTGGCTTATAACCAAGAATGGCAGAAAAAGGAAATGAATGTAGTCATTAAATAGATTAAATATTGTTTGATCCTTCTGAAATTCCCTTCGTTTTTTTTTCTTATAAATTTGAACATTATATAGCATTTAGAAGAAGTTCATTTGCTGCTTTTGATAAGCAGTCTTAAATCTGCTGTATCAGATTTGGTCAGGTATCTTACAAGCTTACCTTATCCTCAGAAAATGCATGTTACGTTGAAAGAGCCACAGAAGGTCACATATTAGTTTAAGTATACCAATGTTCAGGCTGAAAGTGCCATGGGTAGGTGATCAATAAGATTATACTGTGGTCTCACCAATGCAGTATTACATATTGTAGTAGTGTTTTATTAAATAAAGTTTGTATATTTAATACAAATTTAATAAAGCAATAAATGTTTTATTGCTAAACCGTACTGTATATAGCCAATATACTAGTTCAGATTCTATGTTATGAATTTTATCTTTTGACATCACATCATAGGATTAAGCCAGTGGAAATTCCCACATCCCAGACAAAAAACATGGCATAATAATCCCTCACCCCAAAAAAACTACACTTGTACTATATATATCCTTATGATAAATTTGATAGGGATTGGAAATGCAAACAAATTCAGGAGTCACAACTATGTCTATAAATAATAAGATAGTTCTTCTACCATTCACTAACTGTGCTTCAATGGCATCACTTACAAATACCCTAATTAGTGGAACAGAATGTGGTTGATCCATGTTATTGTTTTCCACATATTTTTCTCCTTTTATTAGCATGTTTCTCAGTCTGTACAATAGGAAGAATCAAAACTAATCAAATAGTACAGGGCTAGATTTCTGCAATGTACTTAGAAAAAAAAGAATCCTAACCAAAATTTAAATTAAGTAAGTTTGTTATGTTATGCAAATATTGATGCTATACTTTTGTCCGGATTAAGCATGCTATGCTAAGTATTGAAAACTATTTCCATTAACAGACAGCCTACATCTGATTGTCCATTTTCCGTGTATTTGTATATAATGCCCAACTATGTACTAGTAAATGTGTTCCTTCTTGAGAAATCCTCACAACAAAATCAGTTTTATTCCTGGTTACCATGAAATGACAGCCTCTCTAGCAAATGCACACTTCTAGAGTTGGCAACCAAAGACTATCTAATCCCACTGTTGGTTGTGACACATTGCCAGAGTAAGATAAATCAAAATGTGCATCATAAATGACATCATTTTCATATCTAGTTATTTATTGTGCTGCATTTTCTTTTACCTGAGACAACAAACACAGAATTTCTAGTAGACCAGAGATAAAATCTTCAAGACCGCACATAGCTGTTTTGATAAACCTTAGTTCCTATTTACATTTTATTTGTACAATGTTTGAAAGCAACACTGTATCAGGAACTGTTCCAAACCATTCTTGCAGATCACAGTATTGCTATCATGGATTTTGATGTAATCTATCTTGAGCTGTGGTTCCTGTGATGCCTTCCATTTTAGTCAACCCATTTTAGCAGTAGTAGTTCTGCTGCATCATATATCTGTATAAATAACATTCCTTTAAGTAATCAAACATCCATGAACAATATATATATTTATATATATTACATAATATATATTACATATATATTTTTATATATATATATTTATATATATTTATATATATTACATAAACCAGAATTTTGTAATGTGATAGTCAACATATTTTAAGAAGCAGCATTTTAGCTGCTAAAATATAAGATAATAATGATGACAATACAATTCTGTTTACATATAATTGATACAAGCCCACCTATATAATTCATTACATATGACTAGGAAATATTTATTTAAAAATAGGGCTTACAATATTTTCCATATATCATTACATTTTTTCCACCAAAATAGTATAAAAGACAGGCAGATAATTTTAATAAGTCTCATTTTTATAAATTACAAAAAAACAAAGTTATGGTTTTGATTGGGGATAAGGCATATGACAACAGCTGTTCTTAAATAAAAATATGCATTTCTTAAAATGAACATTTCAAAAATCCTTTTTCATTTTTTATTTTCTGTTGGGTTATGGCTTATGCATCTTCCATGCAGCTACCTATTTACAAATACACTTTAGATGCGACACTACAAATGATCTCTCCCTCGAATTTAATTTAAACAATACTAATGAAACAAATTCCATCTTCTTGAAACAAATGTATTCATTCCTTCTAAGTTATTGCTCTGAGCAGTCAGATTGGATACAATAGGCACATTTCCAAATCACAATGCAAGGCAGAGAATGCACTCCTTCTCATCAGTAGCTATATGTGCAATGAGCAAACATTCTGCCTAATCTATTTTATTTGTATATGAAAATATCTGGGGTATCAGATGTCAATAGAACATCAGTAAAGATGGACTGGTAAGTGTATAATCAATACAAATAAGCTTACTTTAGCATGCCATTTTTAAACTCAGTTGCATTCTGGAACAGGTAATCCTCAAGTTGTTATATTTGAGACCAGAATTTTGGTTGCTAAACAAACAGTTGTTAAGTGAGTCATGCACATATGTACACCATTTTTGTGCCACTGTTGTTAAGCAAATCACAACAGTTATTAAGTGGATCATGAGATCATGATCTTGATCGGGATTCCCTGTGCACAGTCACTCATGCCCTCATCACCTCTCGCCTGGACTACTGCAACGCTCTCTACATGGGGCTCCCCTTGAAGAGCACCCGGAGGCTTCAACTGGTCCAGAATACGGCCATGCGGGTAGTCACGGGAGCCGCATGGCGCTCCCATACAACACCTCTCCTGCGTGAGCTGCACTGGCTCCCAGTGGTCTTTCGGGTGCGCTTCAAGGTGTTGGTTATCACCTTTAAAGCACTCCATGGCATAGGACCTAGTTATCTTCGAGACCGCCTGCTGCTACCGACGGCCTCCCATCGACCTGTGCGCTCCCACAGAGAGGGCCTCCTCGGGGTGCCATCAGCCAAACAATGTAGGCTGGTGACCCCCAGGGGGAGGGCCTTCTCTGTGGGGGCACCTACCCTCTGGAATCAGCTGCCCCCAGAGATAAGGAGAATCCAAGACCTCGGTGCCTTCCGCCGTGCCCTTAAAACCTTCTTTTTCCAGCAAGCCGGGCTGGCCTAACACTTTTTAAAATGTTTTTAATTGTTTGTTATTGTTTTTAATCATGGGGCCAAATTTATATATATCTTTTTAATTGGATTTTAATGTTTGTAGTTTATGCTTTTACTTGGCTGCTCACCGCCCTGAGTCCTCAGGGAGAAGGGCAGTATACAAATGTAAAAATAAATAAATAAAAAATAAAATAAAATACAACTTCTCCTATTGACTTTGTTTGTTGGAAGACAATTGAGAAGATCACAAATAGTAATAATTTGGCCCCAGGACAGTGCAACTGTTGTAAAGACATACTGTTTCCAGTTCCAAGGATTTTGATCATGTGACTGTGGGAATGCAACGGACGTGTGAGGACCAGTCATAAGTCACATTTTCAGGATCAATGTAACTTTGAAAGATTGCTAAATGAATGATCATAAATTGAGTACTATCTATATTTTAATCCTCACTGTATTTACACAGGAGTTGTGTTCAATTCATATGTGATTGTCTTTATCTACTGTAAAAACAAGATGGTTTGCCTCCACACATTCTGAATGGCAATAGTTTCCTTTGAAGTTAGCTTTTTCAACATCAAAGAAGACAATTACTGAGAAAATGTTCATAATAAAGATACGGTTGGGAAATTATCTTGAAATCTATGTAAGATTAATGGATTGCAAATGAAAAACTTCTACGAAGTTGCATTTATCCAAAGAAAAATATAGATTTTTCTGCTTCCTTTATTAAATTTGGTGGTATTTTGTTGCTCCTATTTTCTTTTGGGGGACATCAGGAAACATGGTTAGATATAGCCTGAATAAGATCCATAAAGCAAATTTTGATAATTTTTTCCCCATAGAGACAAAGACTCATCAAGGACTTTTATTATCCTTTCCAGTTGATATTTTAGATCCACCCAATAGGTGTTCTCATTTGCCATGATTGTGCCATATGCCAATTGGCTGCCTAAATAGCACCTTACGAAGTTTTCAGCCAGAGCCATTTACAAATCATTGAGAATTAAGCTTGGGGTTTTGCAAATAAAACACACATTAGGGCCCTTCATGACAGAATCTCCAGGATCAGATAGCTGCCTGGAGCAGCACCGGGACTGCATATTCTGTAATAAATCCTGGAGAGCCATCATCTATACCAGGGTTCTCCAACCTTGGCAACTTTAAGACTTGTGGACTTCAACTCCTAGAATTCTTCAGCCAGCTTTGCTGGCTGAAGAATTCTGGGAGTTGAAGTCCACAAGTCTTAAAGTTGCCAAGGTTGGAGAACCCTGATCCATACTATGATAGACTGACTTCCGGGTTGACATGGTTGATGACAGCTTCCTGTGTTTTGCAACACATCTTGTTAATGGTTCATGAATTGTGGAATAGCCCAGTGAAGGAACCAATCTACTGAACTTTAAATGCATCTGCTAAACTATAGGTCCTATAGAACTAACATTAGACATTTCCTTTTCCGACTACGGAAGACAGATGACCACGGCAGACTTGTCTGTGCATTTTTCTGCATTAACACTTTAGTTGTTGAACTCATGTCCAGAGTGATTAAGACCTCTTTTTTTTTTCCCTGCAGTATATTTGATTTATCAGATACGTTGCAGTCTCAGGAAATATCTCTCCATCCTTTCAAATGAAACTCCTGAAGAGCCGAAGAAACTCCATCTGCAAAAACAAAAATGTTTTTATATTAGAACAAAGATAAATCCTCAGTAAATATTCCATATAGGTCAAAGAGATGATCCATGCCCAAGGTATTATCTCTGATTCTGCCTACCTATTTGATATATTTAGAAAAGTAAATCTTTAAAAAAATGTTTTTTAAAAATATGAAAAACTTTACTGATCCTTCTGATAAGTCTATAAACAAACAGTACAATGTTGTACAACAGTACAATGCTTTTATATATATATATTTAAAGTCAACATATAAAGACGGTAGATTTACGCATACTAAACACCTACAGTAAATAGAATTTAAAAGTGTCTCCCAACATGATTCTTTTCAGATAAATTGAACAAAAAAAACCCAGGGATTCACAGCCAGAATTTTTTATATATTAATAGAGTGATCTAGCATATTTAATAGACACCCATTCAGAAATCTTTCTCAGGATAAACAAATTGTACAAATTAATTCTTGATTCAGAATGCAAAATGATCCACCACATATGAAATTACTGATTAAATAATCTGTATTATATGAAGATATAAGCCCTTGCCTTTAGAGTTGTAAATTTCTCTATGTTTAAGAGGGAGGAATGAAATAGATACAAGAAAACTAAAATGTATATACAAGAAATAAATATCAAATTCTTGCATGTATGTGTGTGTATACACACACACACTTTTTTCTTACAGTTAAATCCACTTATGTGTTGCAACATAATGTACATTTTACTGTTTTTAGCAAACATAAGAAAGATTGTTATGATATAAATCTTTTGTGGTTAAAAACGAGTATATTTATTATAATATTCATTTCCATTTATTGCCACTCCATCAAATGCATAGGTTGTTAGTAATAAAATTAAAAAGTTGGAAAAGACTATTTAAATTCTTAATCCAATCCTATGTAGTTTAGTTTAGTTAGTTTAGTTTATTAGATTTGTATACCGCCCTACTCCCGAAGGACTCAGGGCGGTGAACAGCCATGAAATAAAACATATCAATACAAAATTTAAAATAGAAATAAAACAAGTTAGATAAATTTGGCTGAACCATATTTAAAACCCCAATAATTTAAAACCAAATTTAAAATTCCCATTTAAAAGAGGAGAAGTTTAGGTCAGGCCGGCTTGCTGGAATAGGAACGTCTTCAGCGTGCGACGGAAGGTACGCAGATCCGGAATCCTCCGTATCTCGGGGGGGAGCTCGTTCCAGATAGTAGGTGCCCCCACAGAGAAGGCTCTCCCCCTGGGGGCCGCCAGTCGACATTGTTTGGCCGACGGCACCCGGAGGAGCCCCTCTCTATGGGAGCGTACTGGTCGGTGGGAGGCTATTGGTGGTAGCAGGCGGTCCCGTAGATAACCAGGTCCTGAGCCATGGAGCGCTCTAAAGGTGATGACCAAAACCTTGAAGCGCACTCGGAAGACCACCGGGAGCCAGTGCAGCTCGCGCAGGAGAGGCGTTACATGGGAGCGCCACGTCGCTCCCATCACCACCCGCGCGGCCGCACTCTGCGCCAGTTGGAGCCTCCGAGTGCTCCTCAAGGGGAGCCCCATGTAGAGAGCGTTACAATAGTCCAGACGGGAGGTGACGAGGGCATGAGTGACCGTGCGTAACGAGTCCCGATCCAGAAAGGGACGCAACTGGCGAATCAGGCGAACCTGATGAAAAATCCTCCCGGTCACGGCCGTCAAGTGCTCTTCTAAAGACAGCCGTGAATCCAGGAGGACACCCAAGTTGCGAGCCCTCTCCGTGGGGGCCAATACTTCGCCCCCAATAGTCAGCGATGGCACCAGCTGACTATATCGGGATGTCGGAAACCACAGCCACTCGGTCTTGGATGGGTTGAGTCTGAGCCTGTTTCTCCCCATCCAGATCCGTACGGCCTCCAGGCACCGGGACATCACTTCAAGGGCATCGTTGGGGTGGTCCGGGGTGGAGATGTACAGCTGGGTGTCATCAGCGTACTGATGGTACTCCACCCCGAAACCACGGATGATCTCGCCCAACGGCTTCACATAAATGTTGAACAAAAGGGGCGAGAGGACCGATCCTTGTGGCACCCCACATATAAGGGGCCTCGGGGTCGACCTCTGCCCCCCTGTCAACACAGACTGCGACCGGTCGGAGAGAAAGGAGGAGAACCACCGTAGTACGGTGCCTCCCACCCCCAACCCCCCCAACCGGTGCAGCATGATACCATGGTCGATGGTATCAAAAGCCGCTGAGAGATCTAATAGGACCAGGATAGAGGAACAACCTCTGTCCCGAGCCCTCCAGAGATCATCCACCAACGCGACCAATGCCGTTTCCGTGCTGTACCCAGGCCTGAAGCCCGACTGGAACGGATCTAGATACGTCGTTTCATCCAGGTACCGGGGAAACTGTCGTGCCACCACACTCTCAACAACCTTCGCAACAAAGCGAAGGTTGGAGACTGGACGATAATTTGCCAATATTGCCGGGTCCAGGGAAGGCTTCTTGAGGAGAGGTCTCACCACCGCCTCTTTCAAGGCGGCGGGAAAGACACCCTCACTCAATGAAGCATTTATAATCCCCTGGAGCCAGCCTCGCGTCACCTCCCGGGAAGCCAGCACTAACCAGGAGGGGCACGGGTCCAACAAACATGTGGTCGCATTCAGTCTACCCAGAATCCTGTCCACGTCCTCAGGGGTCACAGAGTCAAACTCATCCCAGATAACATTCTCAGGACCTGCCTCCGTCATCCCCACTGGATCTACCCAGTCAGAGTCCAGATCTTCCCGAATCTGAGTGATTTTGTCATACAGATACTGAACAAAATCCTTGGCTCTCCCCTCCAAGGGGTCCTCCCTCGCTTCCTGGTGGAGCAGGGAGCGGGTCACCCTAAACAGGGCGGCCGGGCGGTTATCTGATGACGCGATAAGAGCAGCAAGATGAGTACATTTCGCTGCTTTTATCGCCACTAGGTAATTCTTAATATGAGATCTTACCAGTGTCCGGTCAGATTCAGTGCGACTGGCCCTCCAACTACTCTCTAGGCGTCTTTTCCGGCGCTTCATCTCCCTCAGCTCCTCAGTAAACCAAGGAGCCAGGTGAGATCGGCGCCGGGTCAGAGGCCGCAAAGGCACGACTCGATCCAGAGCTCCAGCGGCCGCCCTATCCCAGGCGGCCACTAAGTCTCCAGTCGAGGCGTGAGCCAAGACCTCAGGCATTGGCCCAAGCTCCGTCTGGAACCTATCAGGTTCCATCAGGCGCCTGGGGCGGTACCATCTTATCGGTTCCGCCTCCCTGCGGCGGGGAGCAGCGGTTCGAAGATCAAGGCGAAGGAGAGAGTGATCCGACCATGACAAGGGCTCGATAACTATGTCCCCTATCTCGAGATCACTCAACCACTGTCCAGAGACAAAAATCAGGTCCAGTGTGTTTCCCCCCATGTGCGTAGGGCCATGAATTAGCTGGGTCAGATCCATAGCCGTATGTATGTATAGGAATCCAAATTAAAGCATCCTATCACATATATAAGATCTGCTTTGAATATATTCAGTAAATGGAACCTAAAGTATGATGGCTTTTGACTTTTAGGGGGTGGATAAAATATAATTTTTATCCTGCAGGAGATTGACACAACTTCACAAGTGACTTCAGTTAAAATTGCCATCCTGTGTTGGGCAGAGTCATGTGATTTTTTCCCTCATTTTATAATGGTATTGCTTAGCAACATAGTGGCTGGTTCTAACTTCGGTTAATAAGTATGGACTATTTATAAATGTTTTTTCATCCCTATGTGTTGTTCACAGCTTCATATCCAGTGCAATTCCAAATATGTCATAAACTTTATTTTTTTTAAAAAAAAAAAATTAATTAGCATTTTACTAATCCAGTCCCTAAATCTACATTGAAAAACAAAGAATTAATCAAATCAGCAGCAAAGTCAAGATGTTTTCATTCAAGACTTGAACAATCCCAGAATGCTTGCATCTACTAGTAAGGAGTACTATGTGGTTACCTATTTTAGTGGCTCCCTTTCACTAGACAGTTTCTGAACTGTTGCCAGCTACATAATGCTATTGCAGTCATGATTTAGCCATTAAACAACAACAACAACAATCTTTATCACTTGGGACAAAGCTGCAGTCCACACAAATCTGACCACAGATGGGTTGAGGCAATTCACAATAAAGTACATGCTCACTTTCTCTTTTGAATATTTTATATGAGGGTAGATCTTAAAATGCATTTGAGGAATACCTCTGTTACAAAAATAATCTTATTTCTTTTTGTCTGCTGAGTAGATACAGCAAGAAAAGTGTACATCAAGAAATACATTTTGATTTCTACAATATTCTCCCAAGTCCAAGATAGTGAAATTGGCAGGATGTCTTAGAATATGGGGTTGGAAGGGATCGTGGAGGTCTTCTAGTCTAACCCACTGCTTGAGCAGGAGACTTTATACTATTCCAGACAAATTGTTGTCAAACCTCTTCTTGAAAATCTCCAGTGATAGAGCACCCACAACTTCTAGAGGCAAACCATTCCACTGATTAATTTTTCTCATTGTGAGGAAATTTCTCCTTAGTTCCAGGTTGGATCTCTCTTTAATGAGCTTCCAGAGCTTGTTCTGCTCTCAGGTGCTTTGGAGAATAAGCTTACCCATCTTTAAGTTGAGCACCTCAAGTATGGAGGATAGATTATATCACACACTAGTCCTTCTCTTCGTTAATCTAGACATATCTAGTCCCTTAACCATTCATCATACAGTTTAGCTCCATATCCCTTGTCATCTTTGTTGCTCTTCTCTGTACTTTTTCTAGGACCTCAGCATCTTTTTTATCATGGTGACCAGTGTCAGCTCCAGCATGCCTGGTGGCCCGGAGCTGTCATTCTGGCAGGGGGAGCTGCAAAAAGTGCAAAAAGTATGGACAGTGGTGAGAAATGTGTTACGCCACTCAGCCACAAAATATAAAAAGCAAGCAGACAAGAAGCGGAGGGCATAAATGCCTTCCTATGTGGGTCAGAGGGTATATCTCTCCACCAAATATCTCAAGTTAACCATGCCATATAAGAAACTTGGCCCTAAATTCATTGGACCTTTTCCCATCATGAAGGTTATTAACCCCATCATGGTGCAGCTGAAACTTCCCAGTTGTTGAGGAAAATGTATCTGGTCTTCCACTGCAGCTTGCTCTGGCCGGTCCAGCCATCTCAAATCAGAGGAGTTCCTACACAGCCACCTCCACCTGTCACTGTGGGTGGGGAACAGTATTATGAAATAAAAGACACCCAATGGCATAGAGGACAGTTACAATACCTTATCCTCTGGAAGGGATATTCCCTGTCAGAAGCCTCGTGGGTTCCCAGTACAGATGTCAGGGTGCCTCGGCTAGTGACCAAATTCCACCACAAGCATCCAGCTAAACCGGGGGAAAAGGGCCCTCCATCTCCCCACTGACCATAGCCTTTATCTTCCAGATGCTGTCTCTATGGTAGAGCGGCCATATGTCAGCTCCGGTGTGCCTGGCAGCCTGGAGCTGCCATTCTGGCAGGGGGAGCTGTGACTGGAGCTTGTTTGGCCACCGGGATCACGATCACCAGCTGGACGGAGGCAGTGTGGGTGTCTCCGATGATGAGATGGAGTCGCTAGCGGCATCAGGCTGCAAGAGATGGCGTTGGCAGATATCGAAGCAGGTGATGCCATTGTAGCCACAATGGAAGAGCTGGAAAGCTCTCCAGCTGGGAGACAGACACTGCACTTTTTCACCTTCCGGGGCCATGTGGTGCTAGGCATGCGCGCACAAGAGGGAGCAGGGTGACGGGAACAGTTTAAAGGTGGTGGGGAGCACTGGATGTTAGCTCTGACAATTTCTTCATTGCTTTAGTGCTTTGGTTATCAGTTTGTACCAGAGGAAATAAAACTATGTTGCAAATCTGATTCATGTTTGGCAGTTTTTCTTTCCCTTCGGAACCTGACACCAGAATTGAATGCAATATTCCAAGTGCGGCCCCAATAGTCCAGTATAAAGTGGTACTATCACTTCTCGTGATCTCAAAGATACTATCCCTCTGCTGATGAAGCCTAGGATTGCATTGGCATTTTTGGTAGCTGCAGCACACTGATGGCTCACACTTAAATGGGGCACCATTAGGCCCCCTAGCTTTCTTTCACAGTTACAACTGTTGAGCCAGGTACCACCTGCCTAATCCTTAGATACTAATGGATAAATCTGAATATCAGAGTTCTTTGCCCAATTGCAGGCCAGAGTGATAAGACTTTGTCTGTATCCCAACAGTAACTGTCATGTGTTATTCTTCCAGAAGTTGGAAGTTGGATTGATGTGGAGCATAGAAATCTCTACTCTGTTGTTTTTAGAATTCAAATTCTACTTTGAGGAATGACATATATCTATTTATTCTAGCCAAAAGCTTCAAGGCCACAAGCACACCTAGAAACAAACAAACAAATAAATTACACAATAATATAAGAATATAGGAACAGCCCTGGTGGACTAGCCCAATGTATAAGGTACTTTGCTTCTCACAGTGGCTAAGTAGATGCCTTTTAGGGTGCTTGCAAACAGGAGATGTAGAGAGAAGTCTCTCCCATTATTGTATGTCTCTCCTAAACTGAAAAGTAACATAGAGTCTTCAAGTCAAAGGCAATATATTGCTAGTGTTGTACCTATAACTAAAAAACAAACACTGCAGTGTGGTTTTTTTCAGAAATTTAATTTTACAGCCAAAACAATTTCAAACACTTTTGAAGTCCACTGATCCAATGAAAGGAGGACTTAATTTATGCAAACTAAACCAAAAGGAGCTTAAACGGGACCTGAATAAGTCTTATGCTTTAACAGTGCATAATAGTTAATAAAAAATTAAAATTAAAAGTTAATAGAAATAAGGACCTGTAGCACAATTTATTATGAATACTGCAATTGAAATATTATTAGATTTCATTATACAGGATGACTCAGGAACTATCACCAAAGATGCTAAAAGCTGTCAATTTCTTATAGCAATAGAAAACTTACAATTCTATGTTATTTTACTTGAAGTGCAACATATGGATTATCTTCATAGTCAATTGTTGATGAAATAGATTTAAAAAGAATCCTATGTCACAAAAGTTCCATTTATGCTTATTAAGTATAAATCCCGTCATGTTCCCAGATTTTTAGATCTTTCAAGAGAATCTGACATGCTTAATGTAAGAGTTTTATATAAAACAGAAGAAATTGCCTTGATTTTAAGTGAAGTAGAAACTAAACTTTTTCAAATGGTCAAAATTGCTGAGATCTGGGAAGCTTACAAAGAAATGTTTGTACCATTAAATTTTTTGAAAGCAATCCTTGTTAAAAATGCATTCATTATTAACAAGTTTTCCAAACCAGCAATTAGGATATGTCTATACCAATGATTAGACATAGAATGACAGCATAACTCAAGTGGAAATTGTCCCTACACCCACATGGGGCCATTATTATTAATCTTATCCATGAGCAAGAAAGGAAAATGTAATTATGGATAAAAAGACAGGATATCCTGTCATCATCTTCTTCAATATCATCATATTGTCATATAACTCTAATATGGTTCTCCCAGACCAAAATGTGTCAGTCAAGCACCAATAATTCCCTGATTAGCTCCTTGGGATTCCCACTTTGCACAAGGATGAACTTAACTTTTCTCGCCTTCTCTTCCACATTTGCACCTTCAAGTCCACACACACAGAGGATATGTCTTGCTAAAGAGAGTAAAGGTTGCTGTTATTTTCCTTTTCTTTTTTAATAAAAGAAATAGATTTGTATTTCACCACAAAGAAGAAAATCAAGTGTTCCAAAGCTGAGTCTATCCACCCACCCAAGAAATCTATTATGAAACAGGACCAGAGAAATGGGAAAGCACAAGGGAATCTTTAGTTAGATATTCAGAAACAATATCAGTATGTGAAATGGGAGGCATTGTTTGTCACTAATGATGTTGAAGACAGTGTCCAATCATCTCCCATAGCTCTTGTGCAATCACATTCCACACAGGTATTCCAATGGGAATAGATTCATGACCAGAGGATAAGTTTTCAGATACAAGATATAATGGTTTGAATAATGGGGAAATACAATATCTCTGTAAAAGAAATGCAATCTTAAGGGAATGTTTGTGCCTTATCAATGGTCACCAAATGCACATTTATCATGTTTTTTTAAAAATCTGATTGTGAAAAAAAATGGCCCACACATCCATATTCTGAATGTACGTGTTTAAGCCAACGACTCTACATTTGTTAAGGTGTTTTCAAATGTCCATACTTTGTTGTTGAATATATTGGAAGTTTAGCTTTTTAAACAGTAGCTTGATTTTTCTTTTAAGAAACTGATTTGTAGTCAAATCACTGTTTTATACTGCATGCTGTAGATTAATGCTGGGGGGGGGGAGAAATTGTCCCCCTCAGAACAGGCTCACAATTTGGGTGTCCTCCTAGACTCACAGCTAAGATTAGAGCAACATCTGACTGCTGTGGCTAGGGGGACCTTTGCACAGGTTCGCCTGGTGCACCAATTGCGACCCTACTTGGATCGGGAGGCTCTCCTCACAGTCACTCATGCCCTTGTCACCTCACGGTTAGATTATTGCAACGCGCTCTACATGAAAAGTGTTCGGAGACTGCAGTTGGTCCAGAACGCAGCCGCACGAGCTGTCGTGGGTGCACCTAAGTACACCCACATTACACCAATTCTCTGCGAGCTCCACTGGCTCCCTATTGGTCTCCGATCACAATTCAAGGTGTTGGTCATTACCTTTAAAGCTGTACATGGCTCAGGGCTAGGTTATCTTCGAGACCACCTTCTGCCACATAGGTCCCAGCGACCAGTAAGATCCCACAGAGTTGGTTTCCTCCAGGTCCCATCAGCTAAATAATGTCGGCTGGCGGGCCTGGGGGGAGGGCCTTCTCTGTGGCTGCCCCAGCTCTCTGGAACCAGTTACTTCCTGAGGTCCGGACTCTCCCCACCCTATTGGCCTTCTGAAAAGCGGTGAAGACCTGGCTTTTCTGGCAGACCTGGGGCCGTTGATCTTGCTCTTGTGATCTGGCGAGATACAGCCATGAATGGTGTGAATGAGCTTTTAATGTTTTTTAATTTTTCAATGTCTTTTTATAATGATTTTTTAAATGTATTGTGAGCCACCCTGAGTCTTTGGAGAGGGGCGGCATATAAATTTAATGAATTAAATTAAATTAATTAAATTAAATTCTGCTAGAATAATTATAACTAAAATTTTATTGTATTCTGTTTTAATAACACATTATTGTCATGCAAGTGAATTGGCACCACTAGGCATGGTGATTTAGTAGTGAAGACTCTTGCCTCCCACTCAGAAGGTTGAGAGTTCAATCTTAGATAGCAGCTGATGCAGCTGATGTTTCTTTCCTAGGAGGTAAGAAGAAATATCTGCTGTGAAGTCTGCATGGTGTCAGGAAGGGCATCTGGTCAGTACATGCTTAGCTCCATCCAGTCATCCTGACTCTACCCCGAATTAAGGGATTACATGTTTATAAAAAGGAAGGGTTTTTTTTTTAATTAGCATGAAGTAGGACAGGGCAGATTTTAATTCCTTTGTTTATATTTGAATAGAAAAGTATCATTTGACAGAAACTCTCTTTCTTGCTACACATGTTATAATGCATTCTCAAACATTATTAAACATTTGCATTCAGAAACTTTATTCAGAAACGTATTTCTTTCAAATTTCCTATTGTTCCATCTTTCTATTTTAAATTCTATCTTAACATAACGCCAGGGGACTGGAAGATATGCAACACCTTCCTCTTTCTAATATGTCTAATCCGCCTATTTCAGAAACCATTCTTGGAATATTTTGCCCAAATGAATGGCGCTGGCAAAGGTACCTCCAAATGATTAAATGAAGAATTAAATTGTAGTTACCTAATGCTCCATGCCTTTTCTTCGTCTTTTTTCTACTGTGTTTGCTTTTGGTGATCAGGGAAAAAAATAAACAACAATAAGACCAATGGATGCCCTACAGGAGATTTATTATTTGTAACATTTGCATGTCATGTTTTCTCAATTCAAGACTATCTGATAATATTTCCTCCTCCATTCTCCCCCCCACAATAACACTGTAACATAAATTTGTCCGAGAGAATGCATGATTTGCCCAAATTCACCCAGTTAGTTTCCATGGCTAAGACCTAAGAGTAATCTCAGCCTTCTCCATTTAGTTCAACACTTGTATCTCTTCTCCCAATAACAGTTTGGCAACATCTCACATCTCAATGCAGGCTCTCCAACAGATGCTATTAAAAAAATTCAGATTGGTCTGTGATATTTTGTCATGATTTTTTCTTGTTTCTTAATTTCTAATTAGTCTTTTACACTTCTAATAATTTTTCCCTTTCCTTTCCAATGGTACTAAACAAGGAAGACTCCAGGTTTGGAGGCTTGAGAGACTTGCAAAAATGACCATATGTCATGAACTTATTAACCGTAGTGTCAGAGCTGCAGGCAAATAGGTCCACTGATAACAGTTATGAGTTTCTTTATTTCACTCACTGCTTAGAAGAGAGAAGCAGCTATCAGAAAGAAAAAAAGGAAGATGTCAAGAAGCAAGTTGAATGGGTATTCCTGTCCAGATTTTTCTTTGAAGCCACCCTCTTCAAACCCTCCAATTATTCTGCCTTCCAGAATATATCCCTAAGGCAATGTGGTTGGCAATCCCAATTCAAAGCTATAGAATTCTATAACAACAGCTCTTATGTGGATAAAAGATCCATCTTAGTCTAGCATTTGTTTCCTACGATCGCCAAACAGATCTCCTAGATGCTCAGAAACAGAAGACAGAAATCTACCCATCTCCCACTTCTACAACTTGTATTTGGAAGCATGCTGTCCCCCACCCAAAAGCAACATTATGTCTTCAAAAAAAAAGGGGCCTCTGATGGACCTATCCATTAATTTATCCAGTTCCCTTTTCAATCAACCCAATTTAGTGATGATCCCTACATCATATCATAATGATTTATAGATATTAATTCCAGAGATTAATTATGCAGTTTGTGAGGTAGTGTTTCTTTTGTTCATTTTAATCTTCTGCCAATCAACTTGATAGGGAATTTCCTAATCCAGTGTTTTAAAAAAGGAAAAATGTCTTCACCCTGACCATTTCTTCCATGCTGCCATCCATGATATTATAAATTTCAGTCATGTTTCCCAGTTGCCTTTTTCCACACTAGAATACCCCAAATTTTAAATGTTTCCTACAGGGAGTTTGTTCAAGCCCCATTCCAATGTAGTCAGTTCATATGGCTATCCACTATGACTCCCCCATTGCATATGTGACCTTAAGGCTGTTTGCTCAGATCTATCCAAATAAGTCTATTTATCTATCTCAAGTTAACTTTTACTGAACCAATGGAAGTACTATTATTTTAGTGTAATTCTCATTATATTTTGTTTATATGCTGGGTATTTGCTGTCCTGTATCTCACAGAATCTTTTTTTTAAAAATGATTTCCTTTTGATTTTAAGTTGTATATGCAAAAATAAATATTTCATATTGAATACATGTATGGAATAGAAATTTGGAAAATGTCTAACTTTTTAAAGCTTAGAAGGAAGAGTGTGATATGTTATTAAGGAAAAAAACTGACAATGTAGTGAAGCAGAAGCACATGGAGAAGAGAAAATATGACATTAGTATAATTGGGGGGGAAGGAGTATATTTTACCATAAGTTCTAAGTATCACTGTACCTGCTGCTCCCAGTAAAATATCTGTGTGCAGAAATTCTATTGCAATTTCCCCAATTGGTTCACCTTTAAGGGAAAACATGCTTTAGCAATTCTTTCAAAATGTAAAAGAATTCCAGCAAAGTTCTTGCATTCATTTAGTTAACGAGATATACAAGGGATGGGATTCAACTGAAAAATCAGTTCTCCAACAGACTACAGTCTCCTTGCTTCTCTCACCTCAGTTAAATTCTAAAGGAAGTGTGTGAACTTTTCACAAAGAGTTTTTTCAGTAGTGATTCTATCATCATCATTAAAGAGGAGTTCATTATTCAGGAATTTTTCATCCATTTATTTCTTTTTACCACAAATTTTTGAGTGGCAGTTTTGAGTAAATGTCAATAAATATAAGGGGTACAAGTTGATTTAATAGTGAAAGAGAGCCAAATGATGATGCTTCAGTACTTAATACCCCAAGAAATTCAGCACACACATTTTTATGGATAAGATCTTCCATATATGAATAAAATTATCAACTCTCAGCAAACCATATAGCTTTCAAGTGTGTAAAGACATAATGCTTTTGAACATTATGTATAGACCTGTGAGCAATTCATTTAAAACTCCTTCATCAGTCCACCATTTTTAAATACAAAATTATATTTTCTCTCAATTTCTGGACAAGCTTTACCCATGTTTAAAGCTAATTAGATTTTATTAAGCCGAGGTTTTTTTACCATCCATTATTCTTTGCATTTTTATGATTACCATTAGCAGTTGTTGAAGTTTTTTTTTTTAATTTTTAATTTGATTTATATGCCGCCCTTCTCCGAAGACTCAGGGCGGCTTACAATGTGCTCAGCAATAGCCTTCATCCTTTTGTATATTTATACAAAGTCAGCTTATTGCCCCCACAAACTGGGTCCTCATTTCACCTACCTTAGAAAGGATGGAAGGCTGAGTCAACCTTGACCCTTGGCGAGATTCGAACCCTGCAGTAATTGCAGGCAGCTGGTCTTAAGCAGCTTAATAACAGGGTGCCTTAAACCCTAGTACTACCAAGGCTCTTGGTAGTACTAGAAGTTGTTCCTTGGCCCTGATATTGTTTAATCTTTATGCCAATGATATCCCAGGATTTGTCCATTCTATGGATGTTTATATGCCAAAGATCCTTAACAGATCCTAGATCTAAGAAGACCGATGAGGAAATTCAGTGCGTATTCTTCCTTTGTTTGAATAGTAATAAAACTAAATCCAAAGTATGCTTTTTGGGAAAAGATAGTCAAAATACAGCTGGTTGGGGACTCTATAATCATGAATTGCTTTGAGAAATTGGTCTGATGGCACATCATTTCTGGTCTTCCGCATACATTTGATAAACACCAGTTTGCATACAGAAGAAATAGATCTACTGAAGATGCTATAGCCATCACTCTTCACACTGCTCTAACTTATTTGGAACAGCAGGTGGGTGGGCTATGTGAGGATGCTTTTTCTAGATTTTAGTTCTGCATTTAACACAATACTTCCACATAGACTAATGTCTAAATTTATGGATCTTGGACTTTCTTATTCAATCTGCCTTTAGATTATGGATTTCCTGTCTGGCATCTCAGAGGGTCAGATTAGGTAATCATATCTTTTCAGCTCTTATTCTTAACACTGGTACACCATAGGGTTGCGTGTTGAGTCCCTTACTCTATACTCTTTATGTCAGGGGTGGGTTCTACTTACCTTTACTACTGGTTCGTAATGGGATTGCGTACACGCGCTTGCTTTGCTTGTGCACGCGCCTTGCATGTGCAGATTGCTTTTGATGATGTCAGGGTCAGTGGGCGGAGCCTCCCGCTGGTTTTACTACCGGTTCTATAGAACCGGGGGCAACCCACCACTGCTTTATGTGCATGACTGCATTCACACTCACGCTAGTAATACTATTACTAAATTTGCAGATGATACAACAGTGTTGGGACTCATCTCGGGGGCGGGGGGATGAGTCTGCCTATCAAGATGAGGTAGACAGATTGCTTTCGTGGTGTGGAGACAATAACTTGGGTCTTAACACCAGTAAGACCAAGGAGCTTATAGTGGACTGTAGAAGGAATAGATCAGACATCCAGCCCTTGTTTATCAATGGAGACCAAATGGACCAAGTGGCCAGTTTTAAGTTTCTAGGTGTTATCATAAAAGAGGACCTGACCTGGAGCACTCACATTGCAGCTCTGGTCAAAAGGGCCAAGAAGTGAATGAAAAACTGCTTGTGACCTTCTACCATGGCACCGTAGCGAGTATTTTAACTTACTGCACCTGTGTATGATTTGCCAATTGCACAGTGGCAGATAGGACAGCACTCCAGAGGGTTAACATCATTGCCCAGAGGATCATTGGTTGCCCTCTCCCCTCTTTGGAAGAACTTTATAGTTCCCACTGCCTTAAAAAAGTTCAAAACATTCTTAAAGATCCATCTCATCCTGGGCACCCTTTCTTTGAACTATTACCATCTGGCAGATGATACAGAATAATAAAAACAAGGACAAATAGGCTGAAAAACAGCTTCTATCCCAGGGCAGTAACCATATTTAATTCTACTGTATAGTGCAATATTAATGCAATATCAGGAATTTTCAATTCAATTGTATAGAATGTGAAGGATGTGTGCTTGTGTTTTATTTTTATAGTTCTAATGTATACTGAAGATGGCATTTAATTTTGTTGTATGAGATGCAATGACAATAAAGTAAACTAAAACTAACTATAAAACAAAGATTCCTTCTCATATTTAGGAATGGTTTTCACAGACAAAGGGGCTTGGGCTAAACACTTCAAATAAAGTTCTGCAAAGGCAGCAGCAATCACTAAAATGCTAATTAAATTAGCAGACTACCTGCTAGGTAGTCTAGGTAGTCTGCTCCCAATTTTAAAGGTGCACAAGACAAAAATTGTACCAATGTTAACATATAGCGAAGAAAGGCCCCCTTGTACAAAATCAAGTGCACTTTTAGAAGCAGTAAGAGCTGACACAGGGATCTATTTTTTCTGTAGTTTTAACAGTAATCAAAGTCTTTAAACTGCTAGAGAATTTTCTCCATGGAACCTGACAGACTACCAAAAGTGTGCCAACAAATGGACAGATTTCAATTTACACACGTTGCTCAATCAACTTCTCCAAATCAACTCACATTGTGCCTCTCAACACAATGTCTATCTTCAATTGACAATATTCAAACAGACTATTTTTCAATGTTAACACCAGAACTGATATTGAGTCACTTGCAAACATCAGGTCATTGAAATGGTTAGCCAAAAATAATAACCCTCAAATAGAAGAACACTTGGCAATGGGTTTGACTCAAGATCATGGGATAGCCCTTACCAGATCAAGATTCAAGCTGTTAGATTTTATAGTCAAATGCTATATATTGATGACCATGTGTTTGTGGAGAAACAGAGATAGAAGACATTGCATAGGTCCTATTAAATTGCCAATTATATGCCTCAGCAAGGGTTAGTACTTATAGACTCAACTTCACAGAACCATATACTAGGACACCAACCAAAAAATTATCTTATTTCCTTTAGGGTGCAAATATATATGCAGTCACTAAAATGGTTAAGTTTATAGTCAAGGCTGTCCAGCAGAGAACATGCTTTATATAGCACATTGGGGTTGCATGCAAAGGTGATGAATTCACTTAAACACACAGTTTTTTAATTTTAAGATTTGTTGTATTATATATCTTTGCATTATATTTTACCTTATACTCTTTTATCTTACTCTTTTATCTTTATTTTATCTACTATATTTTAATCTATTTTATCTCACTGTGTCTATCACTTTTCACTGTATCTTATTCTAATTCATTTTATTGTATTTTACTGTGAATGATACACATGCTTTGATATGGTCAACCGACTAATCAATAAAGTATACTATTATTACTATAAGGCAAATGCTCACTTAACATAAGTACTATTAAAATTACACTAGGAGGTGGGAAGATGTGTGATTTCATGCATGCATTCTTGTTAGAGATGGCAAGTGATCTTACTTCATTTGGCCAGATGAAACCTCAGTGTTAAGACTATTCTTATGCTACACTAAACTAAAATATGATTGAACTGTTTGTAGCCTAAGTATTGTAAAACCCTGTCATTTTGCTTAAGGTTTCAGTGTATTGTGGGAATAAAGGCAACAGAGTTATTTTTGCAAATTGTAATTCCATGAACCATAGATTAGCATGTTGTTTAAGTACAGTAATGTAGATTTAGAAAAATGGTTTCATTTTGGTAAATATGTTGCTAAATCTTGATCCATATTATTTACTTAAGGTAGACAAACCCATTTCAATTTCATTTAAAATGGATTATTTACTTACAGATAGGTGGATCTGACAAGGGTTAAAGATGGTGAGTGTAATTGCACGATCTATGCTCCTACCTATTTTACATGCTTCTGGTAGGCAACACATATTAAAACCGAGTGGCCACATACTTATGCCACCATCCTGATCTTTTTAATCTTCCCTCCACCTCCTGTTAAAATGCTCCTCCATACAATATATTGACATAGCCCTTCATGAATGAATTTATTGTTACCAGATCTAGATGGTAAATATCCAAATGACCATCACATGGACAGAAAAACACACCAAATTCTCAGTCTTTGCTAAGTCTAACAGCCATCCAGAATTTTACAGCACAGATCTGACAGACTGACTTAATCTTTATTTCTCTCAGTAAATGTTCAGAGAGGCAAATTTGTAAAGAAAGTTCAAGCATTTTAGAAGCATTACTGGAAAAATGGCACTAATCCACTGGATCAGAAATGTATAATTAGAATCACCTGGTGGGTCTGCTGAGCCTGGTGGCTCAGCAGACTAAAAGCATTGTGATTAACACCAGCTGTCTGCAATTACTGTAAGTTCGAATCTCACCAGGCTCAAGGTTGACTCAGCCTTCCATCCTTTCTAAGGTAGGTAAAATGAGGACCCAGATTGTGGGGACAATAAGCTGATTTTGTATAAATATACAAAAGTATGAAGGCTATTGCTTAATGCATTGTAAACTGCCCTGAGTCTCCGGAGAAGGGTGGCATATAAATCAATTTTTTTAAAAAAAATCACCTCTAAAAGGTCTCATAAAAACATAAAAACAAGCTAGAAACCAATCTTAGTTAATGCTCTTTCAAATAAGTACTGTTAGCAACTTACATTTACTATTGTGAAATCATTTTTCCCTATAGCAGAACAGGAATTGTTCAATGGTATCTTTCCAAGCATATGCTTCCTCCCCAATCTAGGGCTCTCTACAGTTAATGGGCAGACCTAAGCAAAGAAAGAAAATGGCACAAATATATTATGATAGCAACTCTCATATACACCCATAAACTTTATGTTTTTATCTTTGGAAAAGCTTGTGCTGCTTAATAAGATTTAGCCTCTTACTTTTAATCTCATAGTGCAATGGCAAGGAAACCTCTAGTATTGCTCTGGCCTGTTACATGGTTGTCATGGCTACACAAGTAAAGTGCATTACTTCCTCTACTAAAAAAAGAGAAGATTCTGAAAGAGTGCCTTGTAGGATTTACTAGCTTTGTAGTATAGTTAGCTACTAAAGTCTTAAATAAGAACATGCTTGAGGGTTTAAACTAATATGTAGGGAAGAAGAAGCATATCCATATATTTATCTTCATGGAAGTGTTAAACTCAGTCCCTGTTATTATCCTTACTTTATGAATAATCAAAAAAACCCATTTGTATATTTTGTTCTTTTTATTATGACTCACAAATATAAACTGACACAAACCTTTACAGCTTAATTCTCCTCTTGCAATACAGTACTAACAACAGAACAGTTCTCTTACTGATGTTACAGTAGATCAGCAGATATTTCCTGACCGGTGAAAATATATTGACAGATACTGATTGGTTGATGAATAGCAGTGATTGATGAATAGAGAGAGAGACTTGAATTTGCTAATCGCTGATCCCTTAAATTCAGCAAATTTAAAATATATGGATTTCAGCTGGTTGGAAAATTCTGGGAGTAGAAGTCCACACATCTTAAAGTGGCCACGTTTAAGAAACACTGGTTTAAATTATACAAAAGTAGGGGTGGGAATAACAGAATACAGTTTACACACGTTGTCCCTGGAATAGATTCAGCAGGAACACCTGATTATTTCACAGAACTCATAACATTAGTTAAAATATGGAACATTCCAATGCTACATATCAAAAGAAACATGTGGTTCCCAGTATTCTGATGACTATTTAAACTGCAGTGAAGAAGAGGGATAGAAGGGGGATGAAGCTGAGCACCTGTGAAATTATGGTCAGTATCTTTATGCATGGCAAACCACTTTAATGCAACAAAATAATATGATTCAGCTAGCACTGATCTTGAATTACTGAGTCCAAGCATTGTGGAGTCTTTTATACATGAAGCACACCATTGCTGCTCAGTAAATGTGAATGTAGTGGACCCAGTGAAAGCAAAATGCACCTCAATGCATGGCATTACAAGGGAAGAAGTAGGAATTATTAGAAAGTTGGGGATTATATTATTTTCTTCTATTTTTTCTTTTCCCATTCATACTATTGTGATTGCAACTTCAGGGTTTAGGATTTTATATATATAGCAGTTTAGTTGATTTGCTCTAGTGGTTAAGGCACCAGGCTAGAATCCAGGAGACTGTGAGTTCTAATCCTGCTTTAGCCATGAAAGTCAACTGGATGATCTTGGCCAGTTATACTCTCTCACCCCAATTTACCTCATGGAGTTGTTATAAGGAAAATAGGAGGAGAAAGGTGTGTTCAATATGTATGCTACCTAGAGTTATTTATAAAAACAATAAAGGTGGAATACAAACAAACAAACAAAGTGTGCATTTCTTTGCAGTTACAAATCTACTAATTCCTATTGAAATTCCTGTTGAAATTCCTATTGAAATCAGCCTTCCATCCTTCCGAGGTGGTTAAATGAGGACCCAAATTGGGGGGCAATATGCTGGCTCTGTAAACCGCTTAGAGATGGCTGTAAAGCACTGTAAAGCGGTATATAAGTTTATGTGCTATTGCTATCAAGTGATAGTATATTTTTCAATCATCAATTATATGCAGAGGTTTAAAGGAAAGTTTTCAAATCTTTAAAGCTTGATTGTGAGCTTCTCAAAGCCCAATCTAAGCAAAGTGGGAATGCCTTGTGATGATCTCTACAAAACTTCTTTCCCTTGGAACAGCTTGCCCCACAGAGCAAGGACTGCTTTGTAAGGCCTTCAAGCAATGATTGAAGTTGGCATCAAATGATTGTTTTGTATAGAATTATTTATTCATTTTTTTCTTATTAATTTTGTTGCATTTGTATACTATATGTTGTACTGTTACATCCTTTTTTCTTTTTGTTTCTCTTTGGGTTTGTTTTCTTTGCTAGAGTTGTTCTTTTGTCTTGTGGTGGTGGTGTTTTTTTTTGAATAGTTTTTGTTGGTTCTTAAATGCTTTTAATAATTGTCAACTGCCCAGAGTCACTGAGAGTTGGGTAGTATATAAATTTAATACATTATTGTTGTAATTGTATTGTTTTTATGTACACAAGAATATGAAATGCCAGTTCTTTAGCTGGGATTGGTCTTAATTCATAATGAGTTCTAAAGAATCTAGGATGTCATAATCACATAATGCATCTGCTAGCATTGTGAGGATCCAATGTGGCTTTTTGTTATTATTATTCCTAACCAAATAAGTATACCTTTTAATATTTGTTCTCTGTTTCCAATATTTTCCTTACATCTTTTTTCTTTTTGTTCAATAAATTGATAATTTAAATGTAGATTACAAAAAGTGTGCTTTGGCTTATAAAAGTAATAATGGTAATAATAAAATTGAATAGCTCAACGATAATAACTATAAGGGAGGTGTTGGCTCAGTGGCTAAGACACTGAGCTTGTCGATCGAAAGGTCAGCAGTTCAGTGGTTCAAATCCCTAGTGCCGCGTAATGGGATGAGCTCCCGTTACTTGTCCCAGCTTCTGCCAACCTAGTAGTTCGAAAGCACTTAAAAAATGCAAGTAGAAAAATAGGGACCACCTTTGGTGGGAAGGTAACAGCGTTCCGTGCACCTTTGGCGTTTAGTCATGCCGGCCACATGGAGATGTCTTTGGACAGCGCTGGCTTTGAAACGGAGATGAGCACCACCCTCTAGTCTAGAGTCAGGAACGACTAGCACATATGTGTGAGGAGAACCTTTATCTTTTAGCCAGTTATGATGTATCCATCATAAAAATTGTACAGCAGCATTAAAGAATGGTAAAAAAAGAAAAAAAGAAAACCTATATTTAAATAATATAGACAAAATTATTTTAATTATTTCCTAATTATTTACTTGTAAATCACACCCACATTTTGTTATTTCAGAATAAAGTTTTGTCACCTAAGGACAAAGAAAAATTCAACTCCCAGCTCAACAGCATTGTGCATATAAGAGAAATATAGAATAAAGGTTTACCTTTACCTTATAATAATTATAATCATATATATTGTTCTTTGATTATAGTTTCAAAATTTAAAATATTTTAAAGCAGCGTATCATTGACCTTCCATTTCTCTCATATCTGTTTGATATTTGTCAGGTTTCATCCCTTCTAAAAATGTACTGTGCTTTCAAATTTCATCTATTAAAAAGTAGAAAAGTTGTACCTTTTAAAAATTGTAGTGATTAAAGGCACAAAAGATCACTCTGAGTTTACTCAGGCAGCTTTATAATTAATTTCACTTTTAAGTATTTTTAAAGAACTGTGATCCAGATAGACCTGGTGATTTGTACAGCATCTTACTAACAAATCAGTATCAGCATTGTTCCTAAGCAAAAAATAGCTGTTCGAATTGGACTGAACTTGCAATGGTGTGTATGAGTGTGTACCATCTGCAGAAGACTAAAAATTTAATTCTGCTGCTTATATCCAATATAAATTACATTCAATGGCAACCATGTTCCTGATTTCATATGGAATTCAATGCTAACCTAGCCTCTGCTGCATGTCTAAGGTCCTAAGTACAGTTACATACTCTTGAACTTTGCCTATGTATTCAGGCCTGTGTTTAGCTTAATACATTATTTTGCACACTCCATAATAATCAATTCACAAAGAACATTCGTATTAAACTTTAAGTTACCCTACAATGTAAAATTTACTAAAACTTATTTATAAATTTAAGATGTTTAAGTTAAGGGCTGTCTGTTACAGACTTTTGAAATGGAACTTTAAAGAATCATGGTTCATAATTTATGCTTTAAGTTTAATTTAGGTACACATCTATGCTTATTTCAAGGCTGAAGCTGATGATTCTAATCAGAGTATGATTTAGGAAACGTGTTTGTTGCCACAAAATTTTTCTCAGCCATAATGATGACCCTTCCTGGTTAACTTTTGTTTCCATGAGCTGATCATCTCCTGAAATTTCTTGTACCCTTTTAAAATGTATCAAAACATTTGTGGGATTGCTCAAGTAAGAACCTGCTGGCAGAGATTAAAACATCTAAGTTCTACTTTTGCATTTGTTTTTATTTGTATGCCTCCTTTATTATTTTTACAAATAACTCAGGACTCAAGTTTATAACCCAGCTTTAAAAGAAAAATAGGTTATTTGAGGCCTCCAAAAATGTGTTTTCTGCAGTCCCAAAAGGCTTAAGTTCAGTGGTGGATTGCCCCCGGTTTGCACCGGTTCTATAGAACCGGTAGTAAAACCGGCAGGTGGCTCCACCCACCGACGCCGACATCATCAAAACGCTTCTGCACATGCGTAGAAGAGCGCGCAGCCCCGCTGCGAACAGGTAGTAAAGGTAAGTAGAACCCACCCCTGCTTATGTTGTGTGGTTTCCAAAATTTTTGAGACAAATAGCATACTAAAAATATGTAAGTACTAGAATAAGTTTAGCATGGTTTAAAAAACAACCATCAAAACCTCTAATAACCAACTCTTTAAAAAAATAGAAATTTGGACTAGTTCTTGATTTCAGTTCCTGGATACTGATGATTTGGCAGGCAGAGTGTGATGTACTATTTCTGAAACCATTATACCTTCTATGAACATTTATATAAATAAAAACAAATGTAATAACTTGTTTCCTTGTCACTAAAATCAAGTTATCGCTCTTTTATACTTTAAAATTTATTAGAATGAATAAAAGCAGCCTAATTACACCTCTATATTCATAGGGGGTTTATTTGCATTTTTCCCTGCAGGAATTCATGACATAGAGGTTTCTATTTTTATTTTCTCTTTGCATTCTTTAGTTTCTGAAAACCTGTCCTAGAAGACTGGGTATCCTCAACTATCATATATAAGGGATTACTAAAAAAACAGGGAGTGAATGGAAGTACCATGTATATAAACATAGGAACAATTTAAATTCTAAGCTATGTGGAATAATCTCTATCTGACTATATATTTTTCTTTGACACATTCAATGTATGAACAATCAGAATATCACTTTGGACCCTATATTTGGTGACAGCTAAAATATAAAACATACTCTATATTTAAATGAAAGTGGTATTTCAATTTGATAAGTTATGTTTAATTTGGTATCAAAA